CTCTCTCACCGACGTAGCTACTGCTGCTCATCTGGAGTGGTTTAATTATGTTGACGGGAAAGCTCTTTCCTGTCAGCATAGAGCGGCTATACAAGAGATCTTACAGTGGCACAGCTGCATTGGTACAGTTGTGCCGCTGTAATATCTCTAGTGTAGACATAGCCTAAATAGAAATCTTGGCAACTTTATGACAGCGTTGTTTAGATGGAAACATTCCCCTGCAACATTGGCAACCCAAAAGAAAAAATAGTAGTGAAATTGGCCAGTCTACACCATTTTCATTGTCCTAGCTGTGCAACATCCGCAGAAAGGAAACATGTTATTTTTGATGGGTTTCATATTTATCAGTTCTAATAACTCTGTGTCATGGAATGTGTTTTTAATATGACTGTGTCCCATTATGAATTTACTAGAGGATATGCCTGCTGCTTTAGCATTTCGTCCTGAGTTTGACATGTGATCAGTATTGCTGGCAGAGCTTGTGTTACGTTTATTTACTTGATAAATCTTTTTCCTAGATCATTCAACGTCAAGTGGTACTTCCTTGTTTAAGCCCAGCCGATCACTGGTCTCTATTCCCACTGCCCATGTGATGCCGTCAAATGCCAGCTCTTCACTTTCCAAACACAGGGAAGCTCTGAAGTCTGACTGCTCACAATGGAGTACAAACCTTTTACGGTCAGGAGGAAGTCGAAATCTGGGCATAGTGGACCACTCTCTTGACATGAAGGATGTGAGGCCTGTAAGGAAATGGTCATCCTTGTCTAAACTCAGCACACCAGATAGCTGCAGTCAGGATGAAAGTGTCCTTTCAGGGGACTCCAGGGCTAGTACTGACAGATCAGGAAGAGACAAGACCATGTCACCACAATTAAGAACAAATGGGCCGAGTTGTTTGCATAATAGCATGGAGTTGCTAAAAGTTGAGGACAAAGAAACTGGGAAAAAACGATCTTCTACGCTGGATTGCAAATACAAATTTGAAAGTTGCAGCAAAGAAGACTTTGGTGTTTCAGACGCCTCCAATAGGAGACATGTCTTTGACATGACCTACAGTGCCTTACCTGAAAGCAAGCCCAACTCAGCCAGCTGTGAGGCTTTTGGGCACAAATATGCAACACTGGGACAGCAGGCTATGAACGGAGTACCCATTCAGCCCTCAGTGAGGACTCAGATGTGGCTTACAGAACAGTTGCATGCAAATCCTCTGGACTGTAGGACTGCTGAGGAGTCATATGGTTTGGCAGCTTGGCAACTGCAGCAGCTTGAAGATCTTACAAGGGGAAATGAGCACCCGATGCAGGTAAGAATAGAAATTAGGTGTTTGCTGCCATCAGGTGGGCAGTAAGAGACACAGCATCGAGCGTATTTCTATTAAATGTTTCAGGTGGGGGAAGTATTCTTCTCACCCAGTGCTATTGTTGGTTTTTAAACGTTTAAGCTGTTTGTATAATTTAATGAAATACTGACTGCACTAGAGCTTCATTATTATCTGAGTGCCAGCAAAGTGTGCTCCAGTTAATTAACCGCCAGCAGCTATAAATTATACCAGACAATTTACCCAAGCTATATGAGAGCAGCATCTATACTTTTTGCACCTGTATAATATATAGGGTACATCTAGTCACATTTTTGTGTCATTTTAAGAGAACCTTCCGTTGAAATGGTGTGATATATGCTTGAATTGACTTTATAATCTGAACTGATTTATAAGGAAACTCCATTTCCTTTTGATTTGAAACAGATTCATAGTAGACAATGACCCTCACATACGTCAAGATTGGTTACTTCATAAATGTACCTAATAATATACTCATTTATAAACCACACACAGATTATTAATATTGATGTTATCCCTTTCTAATCCCTTCTATTTTTCTAAAAAATGTAAGCATTCAAGATTGTCCCCCTCTATTTTGTGTGAAGGGAAAATTTAACACTGTTTAACAAAAATAAAGCATTACATACATTACAATTATTATTTCAAAATATATCCATTTATATGCATGTCTGCAAATACTGATGTAAACACAGCTCAGAATAATTTGTGTTCAAGGACAGAACGAGCACAGGGAACACAAACAATAGTTATCTCTTTGGCTAAGCTCACTGATGCTTCTGCTTTTCAGATTTTCAAGATTGTAACAAATCTAAGACAAGATTTTGTTTAAAACTTTGTTGTCTTTTAAATTCCCAGTTTTGTAGGTTTGTTTTTTTTTGGAGTCCATTTCTCTCAACTATTCTTTAAAAATTCAATTCCCTATGTCAGGCTGTAGCTTTAGGGGAAGTGTTCTGAACTGCCATGCAGGAGACCAGCGTTTGATTGCTGAGCTACTTAGCCCTGGTCTACACTACAAATGTATGTTGGTTGGGCTTCTCCCATCGGCATAGCTACTACCTCTCAGAGAAGTGGAGTACCTAAGCCGACAGGAGAAGCTCTCCCATCAGCATAGGTAGTGTCTTCACTAAGCACTACAGCAGTGCAGCTGTACAGCTCTAAGTGTAGACAAGCCCTTACTCTGACACTTGTGGCTAGCACAGGGTGGGAATGCTGAGGAACTGTGCACAGTTGTTTGGAGTACAGTGGGAGCATTGCTTAACAGCAGCAGAAGCACTTAAACAGCTGATTAATGAGTGGTGTCTATAGATCACGTTTCAAAGCCTATCTGGTCTCCTTCAAGTGAGAGGTTCGAGTTGTGGCCACATGAGGAACACTTGAAGAATGGGGAAATGTGGGTAGGGGAGCGTTTGCAATAGCTCAAAGCCTTTTAGAAGCAATGTAGCAGTGTTCGAAGGAGGGAGAACAGTTTCCTTCTTTTAACACTTCAGTGAGAACTTGGTGCTGTTTTAAAATCATCTTATTGCAACAACCTTAAAATGTTTCTGCAATAAAATTTATTTATTTGTAATGCTATTTTACATATTGAATACTGTCCAAACAGCAGAATCTCCTGAAGTTGATTCGCTACTGTTTATGAAAAATTAAAAATCTTGTTAAAAGTTAGTTTTATTAAAAAAAATAGTAAAGCAGTGATACTGTGTACAATACAATAACAGGATGGTAAACCTTATTTTCCTTTTCAAAGTAAGGAGTTTCATTTCATGACACTAGAGACCATTTTTGCTGATGGTGACAATCTTTTAACAGTGCAATAAGAAATGTGCCATCTGCTTGGAAGTATGTGTACTGATTGAAATGCAGTGATTTTTAGAGCAGGCAGAAAGAAGCCACATACACTGTTTCTACACTAAAGAAAACAACACAAAATTATAACCAAATTTATCTTTGACTAAGAATGTAGCTAGAACAATGAAAACTTGCCCTGAACATTACATCAGAAAGTGTGTGCAGAAAAGTTGGTCTATTAAACACATTCTGTACTCAACCTCAGGCTATGTGAAAAGCATCTTTATATTGGAACTGTTTTTTAAAAAAAGTGACGTGGATCAATAGATTAGATTTTCAAAGGAGATGCATATTACTCTGAAGAGATTATAAAATGTTCACCTCAGGCTATAATATCTAAACATATGTGTTGTGAAACAAATTTCAGGGGAGGTTACTAGCTTTTAAGTGTTTCTCTGATACTCAGTAACATCATGGGAGCATTCTTGAGGTGGTCTTCACCAACATGTGCTGTTTTGAGGGCATGTCTCTCATCAAATCCTTTAATCTAAGATATAAACAGACCTTCAAGAAGCAGATATTTTATTTTTTTTTAAACATAAGGTTAACGTTTTCTTAGTGAGCTAGAAAGATCCACACTATATTCCCATGCCATTAGGCATTACGCTTAGTTATTCCCTACTTATGCCTAATATTCCAGCACACAGAAATCCCATTTTTAGGTCACTTTTTTCCACAGGAAAGTGCTGCAGGATTAGGCACCTTTTAGGGCAAAATTTTAGCCTCAGATGCATGACCAAGGCTCCCATTGATTTAACTAGAAGCCGGGCATAAAATTTGGAGTGAAGAAATATGCCCCTGAAGGCTGTGAAAGGTTTGACTAGGAGTATTTGTGAATAGTAGTTTCTCAAACCTTGATATTGTTGATGTAGAGCTGAATATTGTACAGCAACTAGAAATAAGATTTAAAATTAAAATACTTTGTCTTGAAAACTGCAGGAGAACATACAGTAAGAAATGTTTCAGCAGGTTGCAGACCTGTGTATTAGTACTATGTACTAGGTGTCTTTGGAAGAACATCTTCCTTCTCTTTTAATATACAGTATGTTTGTATACTTGGTGAAAAGAGGCTTCTTTAGACTACCCTGACTTGCATCTGACTCTAGTATTGTTATAATAGGTGGAAGCCAGGGTGGCTTTAGCAGGGATTCATGGGTTCAGTTGGCCCCACAGAAATCTTGAAACCAAGGATGCAGAAACATCCTGCAGGAATAACTGGAGGAGCCATGTTTGCTCCTTTGCACAAGAAACCACATGCAGCTCCGTAGGCTGAGTCCTGCATCATGGTACTACCATTCCTGGCCCCATCACGGCACGAAGAGGTCAGAGCTACAGCGGCCCAAAGGGAACTCTGGGGAGGGGTTGGTTCTCCAGGCACTAAGGGGGGCAGTGTCGGGTGCTGGCTCATGCTGGCCTTCTCCCCAATCTGAGCAGCTGGGTTTGCATGATGAGTGGAGCACCCTTCCCCCCCACCATTTCCTGGGTGGGGTCTCACTACCTTGAGTAAACTGGGACTGGCCCCAGGGCGGCTGTGTGGAGTGAAGCTGGCCCTGTGTTGACGCCAGGCCCATGTCCTCACCACGCATCCTACCACCACCCCCAGTGCTCTCATTGTGTGTGTGTGTGTGTGTGTGTGTGTGTGTGTGTGTGTGTGTGTGTGTGTGTTG